AAATGGATGCCCAAAGGTACAACATTACTGTCACAAAAATTACAATGACTGTGTCTGAAATAATTATAAATACACTAATTCACTTAGACAATAAATGATTATGAGAAAGATTGAGTATAGTAATAATGATGTGAAGATGACCATGACTGTAACAATCAGGGTGATGATACCAGTCATGCTGTGTTCCAGGTCCCAGGGGAAGGCAAAAGAGGCTGAGGCTCTGCTGATGGACTCCATACACTTCGGTCCCCATTTTGCTGATGCTTACTCCAGTCTGGCATCACTTTATGCTGAACAGGTGAAACATCCAGAAAGAGCACTTCCTGAAACATTCACACACTCGTAGCCATATCTGACTTATTTGCTCAAAGGAGTATTATGACTTATCAGTAATATCTCTAGTAAAGTAGCTTTATCTGTAGATAGTTGATCTATTAGTTCATTACTAATACAATAATTTGTACACTTTACCGCATCTTGAAACCATGATCTAGGTCATGCTTGTTTTAATATAACCTGACATAATTTAATCTGCATTCTCCCACAGAAACGCTTTCCTGAAGCCAATGAAGTGTATCTGAAAGGCATACAGAACTGTCCAGACAATTCTGACCTGCATAATAATTATGGTGTGTTTCTGGTAGATACAGGTGAGTGGACCTAGCTGGCTCCTGAAATGGTGGGTAATACAGGCATAGTGGACAAAAATAGGAAGGATGGACAAAATACATTCACTAAATTAATCACATGACCTGCAGACTTTAAACGTGATTAAATATTGAATTTATTAAGTATTGAATTTACATGATACACTAAAGCCGTTTTCAGATATGACCTCTGGGTAAAACCCAGAGAATTGACCCAGAATACCCAGAGTTTGTTTTTCACATGTGCTCTGCACAGGCACAGGCAACAAATCATCTGCGTTATTCAGGTGAAAAGTTTTTCAGCCGGATGCAGCAAAGGAACGTATTAATTCTGCTGCAGAGATCACATGATTTTGTTGACAACAAACAGACACCAGCTCTTATCGCCACAAACTAGGGTTGGGCGGTATGACGGTATTATACCGTGTGACGGTATAAAATGTCTACCGGTAGAGATTGTGCAATACCGTTTATACCGGAGAAAGAGCAGATGTCTGCGGCATCTCTCTGAGTCACTGTAGTTACACCACCTCGACACACGGGGCATTGCAGGCACTGCAGGCACTGCAACAGACTGCTTGGCGTGGTTGCATGAGCACATGAAGAAGAAACAGCTTTACCGGAGTGATAACAATCATGGCGGAGGCGGAGAGTGAACGGAGGCAGCCCGACCCACTCATGACGAAGAGGAGGAGGAACTCGTTCCGAAAAAGGGCGCTACGTCTGTTGTGTGGAACTTTTTCGGATTTAGAAAATCAGACAACGAACAAAACGTGATACTCTGCAAAGAGTGTCGCGCGACTGTTGCTGCCGGAGGTGGAAACACCAGTAACCTCTTCCACCACTTAAAGATAAAACATGCTAAGCAGTRTTATGAAAGCCAAAAGATGCGTGGCGCACCTGCTGCATCAAAAACAAAAGTTGCAGCAGCTCCTCTCGTCCAAAAGAGCTTGGCAGAGTCTTTCGCCAAAGGCACCCCGTATGACAAAAAATCACGTCGATGGAGGGAGATAACGGAGGCCATACCAAAAGCCATACCGTGATATATACCGTTACCGTGATATGAAATTACTCATACCGTGATATAAGATTTTGCTCATACCGCCCAACCCTACCACAAACTGTCCTGATATCTTCGTCAGTGTATTATACGTTGTGGCATTCGACCATGCCACGGGGTTCCCCTCACGACAGCCAGAGACAAACCAGTCCAACCATTCCGTGCTCTTCAACATCTTTTATTAACATGAAACTGAACCTTATACAA